GCCATGGAGACCGGCAGGTGAGCCGCAGAGGCGCCCGGTCCCCGCCCCACCCACCCGCGCTAAAGAGGATGCGGTTGTCAAGGCGACGTGGATAGGAGAAGAGGACGGAGGGAGGAGGAAGGATGGGCGGCCTTGGCGTGGCCGCAGGGAGGTGACTGAAGCGAGCCCGGCCCCTTGCATCCTCCCCCTGTGTACCTCCCTCCCCTTCTTTTCCTCCTTCTGCCAGCAGAAGCAGCCGCCACAGCACCTGAGCCGCTGCTGCCTTTCGCACCGCACGGCGCTATGGCCGAGCCGGGTCTCGGCCACCATCCCTCTGCCAGAGGCGGGGGAAGAACTGAGAAGCGCACTTCCCAGCTTCTGTGCCTCCTGCTCTGGGCTGGGACCGCCTTCCAGGTGACCCAGGGAACAGGACCAGAGCTTCACGCCTGCAAAGAGGTACAGTTCTCCCCTCCAACCCGACCCCACTTCGGTCAGAACGGTCTTAGATCCAGGCGGAGACCTTGGGGACCTTGGCACAGTTTCAGAGGCCACGGAGTTTGGATTTCATTGGGGATGAGGCATGCGGGGAGGGAAGAGGATCAGGCTCGCGTCAGGGGGAGGCCAACCTACTGGAAGACTCCTGAAAATAGATCACCCTCACAGCTTGGGGTGCTGAGCTCAGCGAGAGGGGTCCCAGCTCCAAGAAGAGGAGTGGCCTGGGTCCCTGGACTTAGAACGAGTGAGAAGGAAGACAGGACTTGGTCTCCAGATGTGGTGAAATTACCTGAAAAGTGGTTGGAAAAGATTATGTGCAGAGCGGCAAAATAGAAAAGGAAAGGAGGGCGGTAGGATAAGGAGTTAGGAAGGCCAAAGGAAGAGGTGAACGCAAGTAGGAACCCTTGTGGTTTTTATCATGACTTCAGAAAAACGGAGGAGTGTGACGGTGAAGGTGGAGATGATCCGAGAGGTACTGCAGGGCGCCACCGACTGTCTGGCCTGGTGTTGGGCACCCAGGTACTTTGTGGGCTGCTGAGTGCGATGCTCTTTTAGCTTGGCCTCCCCTCAGCACATTTGGCTGTTTAGCACGTGTTTCACATTGATCCAGATTTTTTAGTTAACATCTAGGTACTATTTTTTGCCAATCTCTTTCTCATTCTCCAGACTTCGCCAACATATGTTATGTCTTTCTAAAAGTGTTTCTAAATTGTTGACAACATAATTCAGATGATAGGTAGTAAATATCTTCTAACCAAAAATACCTTTTGAAAATTCTTTTTGGAGGGATGCATGAAGTTATTAGGAATAACAAAATTTAGTAGTAGTTTTTATAATAGTGAAATAACAATATTAGGTTGTGCCCTAAGTCTAAAAAAATATGGCAGTGGCAACAATATCTATATCTATATCTATCTATCTATATCTATATCTATATATATGTATATATGCATCCCCTGCTGTGAGAGCGTTTGCCCTCACACGCCATCTCTATAGGTTCTTTCACTGTCCATAGAGACCACTAAATCCCCAGCCCAGTAAATATTTACAAGAACTACATTGGGGAAAGCAGAATAAAATTTCTGTTATCTATGAAATGTGAAAGTTTTCAAAATACCTCGAGTCTGGCATTGTAAAAGTAATACCTACAGTGTCAAATTTAGGTAAGACTTTGAGAGGTGCACATGTTCTTTATGTTATCAATGCTAACTAGTTAGCAAGGACACATATTATTGGTAAGGTATTCTGAGCATTAGACTGCCCACATTCATATGAAATTATGAAGGAGAAGTAGAGATTTTTATGTGAATAAAGATGCTTGACTTGAAAGATTCATGAATATGACAAAAGTGACCCCTGTTAGTGGGACTTCTGATAACTTTTATTAGTCAGAATGATGACCTTTCCTGGGCTATATATGTATGTCCACCAAGAGTTTTTATGGCATGTTTTAAAGGTGGTTGGGAACAGGATGACTTTGTCAGTTTCTGTGGCTCAATGGCTTTGGTGGCCAGTGGTGTAATGAACCGAAATAATGAATCCAAGCAAGTCCACTATTCTAAGAAGCATAGCTGGGCATGGTGGCACACTCCTGTAATCCCAGCACTCGGGAGGCTGAGGCAGGAGGATCGCTGTGAGTTCACGACCAGCCTGGGCTACATAGTGAGTTCCAGGTCAGTGTCAACTACATAAGTGAGACCCTGTCTCAAAAAAAAAAAACAATAAACAAACAAACAAATATTCGAAGATGCACATTGGTGACTTCTTTGGGGAAAGTAAGAATCTTATAGATCATCTACCAGTTCTTGTGATCTTTGTCAAGTACGAAAAATATGAGACATTTAAGACATTAAATACTTCATATCATCTTAGTTTGGAGGGAGGTAAGAATATTGATATTTGAGATCACTAATGGGTGAAAAATTCTTTTACTCCTATTCAAATGACCAATATTTGCTTAAGTAAATGCTTCAGGTGTGGTGCCAGTTTTTAGGTCTATAGACAGGACATTACAATAATACCTTCAGCAAGGACTGCTGTGAGGCTTGGGGAAAAAAGACACCTAAAACACAGAGTAGTATTAACCCCATTCCTGCTCCTTCTTTACTATTAGATCCACACCCCATGCCCGCTTGTAAATGGCTGGGGGGGGCACTCACTGGCTGCAGGCATCAGTAAGTTCTGTTTACACTCTCCTTGAGCAAACAGTGGCTGCCGAACACCCTCCACTCCAAAATAATAAGGAACATAATAAACTCATTATTACCATATTCTTCTCTTGGCAATATGAACTGACCCAACAAGTTTTGGGGCTTCCAACCTCAAATAGTAAAAAACTAGTGCAAGGCTGGGAATTTAGCTCACTGGTTCCACCACCTGCCTTGCAAGTTCAAGGTCCTAAGTTCGATCCCCAGTAAAAAAACAAAAAACAAACAAAAAAAAACCTAGTTCAATATAGATTAGACCTTTTCTGTTCTTAATCTTCATATGAGGTTCTTGTAAACCCACATTGGGTGTTAACGTCAAGGACTCTTTATCAGGTCAACGCTGATCCTAATGGCAGTTGTGCTGTTGCAGCCTATCTGTGAAAGCTGAGACATCACTCTAGATCTAATTAGGGAAAAGAGAGATTTATCCTGAGGTCTCATTAGAGGTGGCAAAGAACTAGGAGTTTGTGGTCTACTGGAATTGTGCAGGGGCTTGGTGTTCCTTTCCCAATTTTATAATAATCAGGGTCACCAGTGGAACTAAACATCCTGTATGATGTTTGTCTTCATGAATCATTTCTTTAGCCCTGTGCTAACCCAGGCTAAATACTGATTGGGAGCCAAAGGTGAGTTTTTCGTAGTACAATGTATCTAAGTCAAATGAGAGGGGAACAGAAAACTGCCTTTGACATGACCTCCCTTGCTGAGAGGTTCCAGGGCTAATTGCCCCCAAAGGGACTTCCCAGTTTATATTGAAAGTCCTGGGGTTTGGGGATCTGATAGACATGAGTTGGAATAAAATTTGTTGAATGAGTAAAGACGCTTTCATTTAGTAAGGATGTGAGTTAATTAACTTCTGATAGCCTCAGATTCCTGATCTGTAAAGTAGGGATGGTAATACCCATCTTATAGGAAGGACTGTTGTAAGACGTAAGTCAAATTAGACAATGCATGAAAAATGCCTTAGTACGTACCCTTGACATAGAGCAGGTGCTTATGAAATGTTGGTAGGCAGAAAAGTTATGCACACAATGACCTATAAATGGTGGCATAAGGTTAACATGGGGTAAACAGTGCAGGAGTGACAATAAAGAAGTACATAGGAAAAGAGTGATGAAAATTTATTTGAATAGTTGGCTCCTGACCTGCCTCAGGAGTAGTAATCGGTAGCATTCAATGGGAAGAGATGGAAGAAGGATGCTTTCTAGAGGGAGCGTTGTGCCCAAGTCGTGAAGTCCCCAAAGACCACCAAGGAGTCATGTCCGATGCAATTGCAAGAGGAATTTATTGCAAGAGGAATTTATTGCAAGCTCGAGCCTGGACTCTCAGGTGTCACTGTCACAGCGGCTTCAGACCGAGAGCCCAGATCCAACTTTGAACCAAGTTTATATAGGATTTTTCTGTTGGTATTTTTAGTTTTCCCTTATCATCAAGGGGCATCGGGAGGGTACATTGGAACATGACCTAATGCTTACATTTGTAAAATTATCATGGGGTG